ATAATATTTTGAATGGTTTTAGTGAACAATAACAACACTGATATGAAGAGATATGTAAGTGGGTTTCTGAATTCATGACGCATGGAAGCTTCCGCCACAGAATAAAAAAATTAAGAAACTTGCAGATTTTTTTTGCCTTTTTTCCTCAGAATCGGACTTTATAACAATTGCGATATCTAACAAATATATAAAAATATCTCGCTATTGTGACTTTATAACTCGCAATTGGGAAAAAAATCTATTTGTGAGAATAAAATATTTTTTTATTTTTTATTCAGTTGCAGAAACAAGCAGCTCATGAACCACAAAACTTTACTAAATTTAGAATTAGCAGTTTGAAGATGATGGCTTGTCATGTTCAGGACTGTATAATATATCCGGCCGCTCACTGCTGCAATGACACCTAAAAGAACAGCAGAAAAGAAGCACTAAAAACACTTCATGCTTTTTTATTTTCTAGATCACTAAAGTGGATGAGAACAAACGTCTCGCTCATGTTTATCTTTTCACCAGCAAGAACTTCATTGACACAAGCTCCAGTTTAAACCAACAGCTGGCCGACTCTGATCTGTGGAACCACCAGAAGGATGTTTTCTTAAGCAGCCGAGGGCCTTCGAAAGCCCTCAACGCCCCAGCAATCAGTGCCACCATCCAGACCTCCAGCCTCAGCACTGATAAAGCACCACACACACCCAAGAAGATGTCATCACCGCTGGGGAGCCAGGACACACCTCCAGGCTCTCCGCCTAAACAGCCGGCTCTTCCACCACTGCTGGAGTTGCCTGAGATTGGGCAGAATATGGATGTGTTTGTTTCAGTGGCGTGCCATCCTGGCCACTTTGTGCTACAGCCATGGCAGGATATGTACAAACTGGTGGTTTTGATGGGGGAGATGATTCTGCATTATAATAAGGTGGAGGATAAACCGTTTAAAGTGGAGAAGAACCAGGTTTGCGCTGCCAAGGTGGAAAACAAGTAAGTGTCTGCATTTTGCTTGCGCATCTAGGCCAGAGGTACAGTATCCTACATATAGTATGTGCCTGAAAGTTTCTAGCGATCCTGGTTCAAGTGTATTTAAATTGGCATGAAATGGAAGCTACACTAGTCTTTTATAGCGTTAAACAGCTTTTCGAAACTAGAAAAATGTAGGGCAGGGTTTTATATTGTCCAATCCGGATTTGATTGTATTGTTAGACCATTGTGGTTTGCTATTACTGTGATGTCATGTGAATGACAGTTTTTTCCGCCCTCACGGCAGTAGTTAAACATCAGAGTAGAGAAGTCATAGCAAGGGGGAGGGGAAGTTATTTTGTTAAACTAGGGCACATGAATAAAAAAAATAATGTGCATGGATATATAAACATTTATAATAAATTCTGCAATATTACATAAAAACATAAGAACTGTCAGTTTTGATTTAATGGTGACTTTAATTTGGGCTAGAGCTGATCTCTGCTAGGCTGGACACCCCTGGTATAGGTAGACGACGACCAGCATAAACCCTGATGATGTAAACCCTGCGCTGTGTTCTGTGAGGTCATGTGACTGACACTCATCCTCTATTTTGTTTTGCAGCTGGTACCGTGTGTTGGTGAAAGGAGTTCTGACCAATGGTCTGGTCTCAGTGTTTCAGCTGGACTATGGCAAACATGAGTTGGTGAGCGGGACCCAGCTCCGGCCCCTCACCCAGGAGTTCTGCCAGCTCCCCTTCCAGGCCATCACTGCTCAGCTGGCTGGTACACTTCATTTCCTGTCAGAAAGGCTCTTTCAGTTATTGAAAAGGCTGTTTTAGACTTCTTGTTCATCAGCTCTCAAAACCCATCTATTCATTATCCATTCAGAAGAGACTTTTTTTTCCATGATCCCATGCATTTCCTGTAAATGTTCCGTCAACAATATTCAATAAGCTCCACTGACCCAATCTTTAGCACTGAGCCCTGCTGGAGCAGCTCTAAATGTGCTGTGATATTTAATGAAAAGCAATAGAATGAACAGTGAAAGTAACAGAAGTTCATACAATACATTTTAGAAGGCTTAATTTAGCATGAAAATAACTGAAGGTAATATATATTTACTAAGCCAACTTTAACAACAGCTAAAATTATCCATATTTTTTTTATTTCTTTACCCAATAATATATAAATTACAAATGCTGTGAAAATACAGGTATCGTTATTGGCAAGGACCAAAAATTAAAGTATCGTTTTGTATCCCTAAAATACATATACTGTATATATTAGGGCTGTCAAACGATTAATCGCATCCAAAAAGTTTGTGTTTACATAATATATGTGGGTGCACTGTGTATAATTATTTTGTATATATACATGTAAACACAAGCATTTATTTTGGATGCGATTAATCGCGATTAATCATTTGACAGCCCTAATATATATATATATATATATATCATGTGACACTGAAATGTGTAATGCCTGCTAAAAATTCAACGTTGCCAGATCTTACTGACCTCAACCTATTTTACTAGACTATATAAATAATAATAAAAATTTAGTTTTCAAAACTGTAATCAAATTAGTTTCTTTTAAATGGAATGAGTGAAATAAAAAAATACCTGGCAGGATAAAAGAAGCTGAAGAACAACACTAGAAGGGAATTGCTTTTGTAGCTAGTTGACTTTTAAAAAAACTTTTGCTGATAATTTACTCACCCCCATGTCATCCAAGATGTCCATGTCATTGTTTCTTCAGTCGAAAAGAAATGAAGGTTTTTGATGAAAACATTCCAGCATTTTTCTCCATATAATGAACTTCAGTGGGAACCAAACGGTTCAAGGTCCAACTGTTCAAAGGGCTTTAAACGATTGCAAACAGGAGAGTCAAGAATGTGCATCACAGAACAGAGCAAGGCGACCATTTGAGCTTATAAAACTTAAACTTTGTTATTTATTTTTTGATAAGACCCTTATTCATCGTCTGGAATCGTTTAAAGCCCTTTGAACAGTTTGCAGTTTGTACTGAAAGTGCCTTTTGGACCTTAAACCGTTTGGTTACCAGTAATGTGCATTATATGAGGAAAAATGCTGGAATGTTTTCTTCAAAAACCTTCATTTCTTTTCAACTGAAGAAAGAATGACATGGATATCTTGGATGACATGGGGGTGAGTAAATTATCAGCAAAAGTTTTTTTTTTTTTTTTAAATGAACTACTCCTTTAATACTCTTTTCCAAATTCAGGTCACTTACCAAAGTACTAACAGACTGTGTGCTGTATCACTCCTGTTTCCAAAGAGCCTTGTCAAAGTCCCTGACTCATATGGGCTGCATGCATGATCTGAATCTTGAAAGAGCTCACATCAGAACTGCTCCTTATTTTCATGCGGCGATTTCAACTATGACTTTTTGCATTCTGTTATGTAACGAAAACCAAAGTGCAGTAGATCTTAAAGTGTGTCTGATCTTTCCAGGTGTGAAACCCAGGCAGTGGTCTGAGGAAGCCTCCATTGTGTTCAGGAACCACGTTGAGAAGAAGCCCCTGGTAGCCCAGCTGGAATCGGTGCAGGAGGCGTCACAGCCCTGGGACCGGAAAGTGGTGATCTTCTTGGTGGACACTTCACAAGAAGAACGGGACATTTGGCTGCATGACATTATGGCTGAACTCACTGATGAAATGACCAACGCAGCGTAGAAACCCCGATCAAACTTTAGTGTTCTTGAAACTTTCTTGTAAGGTTGTTCATTAGTATGCTATAGATTAAAGGTTTATTTTTCCAAAATGTGACTTGGACGCAGATTTGCGCAAGCAAATGTGAATCATAGAGTTGAAAGGTTAAACTTTTAGACAGACGTATTGCAATTTATAGCAATTTAAATGTTTAACTAGCTGGTTAGCAGCACATTTTCATGCTCTTCGCTCACAGTGTTAACTGTGGTGGTGTATATTCTTGGCGAGAGTAGGTCATGCATTCCATAGGCTATTGCCTTTAATACAAAATACCTGTGGAGATCCATCGTCAGTGAATTCATGCTTTCATCTTCTAAGTTAAATCATGATCACTACAGCTGTACCAAACCCTGATGCGGTCAATCATTTTCCATAATGTATTTGAAAACTGTGTGAATACATTATTTAAGTTTGACTGTCCAGCTGATGATGTGCTATGTGGAGGCATGCTTCATGCTTTTAAGTGTAGCATGTTACAAAGCTGACAGATTACTACTTCATGGTCCCAAAGCGACTAACAACGCACAGTGCTCTAACTTGCACAAAGCTGATAGTGTCATTTTGAAACTGTTTACATGAAGAAGATTTTTGGAGTCTATAATAGTGTAAAAGGCAAGAGGAACGGCACAAGCCGTCCACGCTCTAGACGTATGTGTTTGGGCTCTGGATTTAGCGTTATTTATTAAGCTTTTATTTTATTTGTGTCTTACTAATAGTGTAGTGAAGCCATGGAATTTTTGGGGTTTGCTACAATGTGACCATCTAATGTATTTAAGGTATTTTAATAGTAATGGGATAGTTTTATTATGAATATGAGTATGGATATGAGTTAGACTTGAAAGCGACACCATTGTTGGCATGTAGAATTTAACCTGTGTTTTATCTAGATGCTTAATATTTTAGAGATAAAAGTGGAAAAAACACTGGTTGTAGCCCTATATTTAAATTTAATAGATTTTCTTTACCTTAAAAGTCAACATGGAATTAAAATTAAACCAATTTTCTTTATTAATATACCTTTCTGGTCTTACTGTGAAAAAAAATGTCTTTGTAATCTTTTATCAAAATTAAATAGCCTGTTCCTTTAGCTGATGCTTGGGGTGGGCGATATGGCAAACATACATGTATATATATATATATATATATATATATATATATATATGTGTGTGTGTGTATAAAATATATAATTTTCAGGCAGTATGACAATCATATCACGATTCTTCTTCATGTTGGTTTAATTTCCTATTTAAGGTAGCCTTACAAGGTAACAAAATCCCAGACCATTTAGGCCAAATTAGGGGAGGGCGATACAGCCAAAATATGATTTCACTTTATTTTATCTTTGTTATTAAAAATAAGAATAAATATGCAAATTACAAATAATAGGACTATACAAATATAAGATACAAATGAAAATTTTTTACAGCTACCGTTGGTGTATTTGACAGTATCATTCAAGAAATTGAATAAACAAATATAAAAATAAAACACTACATAGACTTCACTGTATGAATGAAATATACACTGATTCTTAATAAAGCTGCTAAAGTCATTCAGTCGAGAGCAGTGAGTGATTTTCTCATTGTCTGAACATAAAAGACACAGATAACAGCAGGTTTATTAGGCTGCTGTCACTTTAAGACCAAATACATTCTATATACTGACTCGCATCCGAACTTTTTACACTCACTTAAGATCAAAAGATGTTTGTAAAACATAAAAACATAAAATTTGTTGATGTTTACCTTGTATTCAACAGTTAAACGCAATAAGACGCGAAAGAGAACCTAGTCCATGACGGATTTTAGTGTGTGCGTTCTCAGAAAAGCGTATCTCGGAACAGCGTGAATAAAAAGTTTAACAGGCAAGGCTTTAAAACAATGCTAATACGTGATGATGAAGAAGTGGAATGTCACGCTGTGTTGCTAAACGTGATATACGTGGCGTTGTAATTGGGACAGAGCCGCTGCCAGAACCGCAACTGGTAGAATGCACGATACTACGATCCCTTTTTATTAATCGGTCAGTCAATAATCGGAAGTCAATAGCTGACGCCTTGACTTCCTGAAAAACAGAGATCACTTTTCACAGTCCAAATAAAAGCCCACTTACTCGGCTTTCCACATTGTGAAAATAAAATCTGAATTCAGTTAATTTCATTTTGACTTCATGTTAAGTACTGCAAGTAATGATATGATAGATATCAGTAAGTGGATGATTATTAATATTATTAATTAATATTAAGTTACAGGACGATTATCAATATATTAAAATAATTTAAACTTTTAAAATAAAATTTAAAAGTAAACTGCCTTTTTTTTCCAACAATAACTATTTTAGTTATTGGCCTTTATTCAAGAACATACTGTACAGTTCTAGAAACGTCTGGAATCACAACATGAATCGTGGTTCTTTCATTTAATACATCAGTTTCTGTTAATAAAAAAAGTTTGAAAACAAGCAGCTTTGTCAATTAAAGCAGAAACACCAGAAATATCTTACAGGTTGTCTACACCAGGTCCTTATTATACGTGTCAAAAGAGGAAGTTGTAAACCCAGTCCTGTTGTTGACAGTAGTGCAAATGCATGGAACGGAGTTCATCAGAAATGGAACAGGGCGTCAGTTTACTTTGCGGTGTCATAACGTGGCGCCACATCCAGTGTAGACAGGATCACTGATTATAATGGGTTCTCGTTAACTAGTCTGGTGTAGATGTGGTTTTAGCCTAAAAATTTGTGTTGGACAACGAGGGGGCCTTCGAGTCAAAAAGTTTGAGAACCACCGATCTGCATCAATAACACGAGTCTTGTTTTAAGAACGATTTAGATTAATCAGCAGTGTTTATTCACATCATGCATTCATTCATATCCATTCAGCATCAAAATGTGAAAATTTAAATACAAACTAATGATATAGAGATTGAGGTTTAAGAGATCTGAAAGATGTTGGTTTTATCATAGAGGTGTAGTAATAGACAGTTGCATCCTTTGACACCTTCCAGACATCACTGCAGTTCATCGAGCACTAGTCGGCAGCACTCGCCAACTTTAGCCGGCTCGAGACCCTGGCGTATTTAGAAATCTGAGAGTTGACACCCAAAGATCGTGCAAGGTCCTTTGCGGTGTTGTCCCCGGCCACTGTGGTCCCCAGGGCCACCAGCAGCCTGAAGACGGCCTCTTTGTCCTGTACGACCTCTAAGGCAGTGCTAGCCACTGACAAGCACTGCGCCTTGGCCTCGATCTCAGCGGGTTGACCGTACAACCTTCCGGCGTAGTTGAGCAGCAGAGTAGCCAGTGCCACGTGGATGTTCTTGTTGCAGACGGCACGGAGGTCTCCGGCCCGGGACAGGACTGTGTCGCGGTGCCCCAAGAGTAGAGCGCGGCCGTGGGACCCAGAGAAACAGTTGCAGAGAGTGCGGAGCGCCAACATTTGATTTGCAGGCCTGCCTTCGGGGGTCATGAGACCCAGGAGATGGTTACAAAGGCTGGCACCCTCTGTCCCGCCACAAAGTTGGGCATTGACTTCAGGATGGCGCACAGCCAAGCGCAGGATGTCCAACACAGGAAAGACAATGTCTGAGGAGGGAGATGATGACTGATTAAATTGATTGAGCTTTACTATAATCCTTACTACAATCTGTTTGATGGACTATTTTGATTTACAGAGAAGTCTTGGATTAAAGGGTTGGAACAAAAATTTTGTTCTGCTGAACAACAAAGGAAGATATTTGGAAGAATGTTTTAATCAAACAGATCTCATTCCCCATTGACTACCATAGGAAAAAATACATACTATGGTAGTCAATGGGGAATGAGATCTATTTGATTAAAACATTCTTCCAAATATCTTCCTTTGTGTTCAGCAGAACAAATAAACACATAGAGGTTTGGAACAACATGAGGGTGAGAAAATACTGACAGAATTTTCATTTTTGGGTGAACTATCCCTTTAAAGTCACGATGAAACAAAAGTAGCAACAGATCTTTTCTTCTGTATTAAGATATACATCAGAGTGCAATGAATTATTGAAAAAATATCTATAATAATTTGTTTAGTTTAGCTTATTTCCCAAATCAAATTCAAAGGAGATAGCACACCAGTGACCAGTTGCATAAACAGTTTACAAGTTAGGCCTGATCCGTTTTCACGTTTTCTGTTTTGGCCTTCCGTGCACACTGAGATGGCGTTTTTATTTATGAAAACAAATTTTTTGAAAACATTAGTGTGGACACAGAGTGCCTTTAAACGAAAACTATGTTTTCAAATGTATCCGGATTAATGTAGCCATAGTATCTAATGTGTTTCTTTAAGACTGGACACATTAAAAAGTATATACAGTACACAACTGGCCCCAGGTTCAGAATCAAATGCTTCAAACTAACTAGTCAGAAGTGTCCAATCCTGTCTTTAACATACCTAAATAGTAGTTGTTTTTAATTCTAAAGACCTTCATAATTGGTGTCATTTGGGTTATAGGTAGCTAAACTGTCCTGGACCTTGGCCCTCCAGGAGCAGGATTGGACACCCTTGCCCTCAGTAGTACTTTACTACACATTGGTAGTATAGTGAATTGTTTTATTTTATTTTTTTTTTCTTATTAAAGTAATCTCAATGTCTTGCCTTCTGGCCAGTGGCTAGTCCTCCAGAGAACACTGATCTGATCTGCTGTGGGCTGTTCCTGACTCTTCGGGTCTGAAACTAGCATTAACAACTTCTCCAGACACTCCAATGCTGCGTCACTCAGCTTATGGTCCGCAGGAGCATTGTTGTTCAGCTCCCGGAGCTTACCTATAGGTAATATTGGAGAAATGTTATGTGTGAATACAGTAGAGGTTATTGTCAGCAAGTATGACATTATCGATTTAGCATCCCGACCCTTCAGAGGGGCACACTAATAAGGGCCGCCCCCGGAGATGAAGTCAAAAACACTTTACACATACATACATGAATACATACATATATAGCAGGGTTTCTATAATTAAGTATAAAAAATTAATTTCCTGACATAAAAAATACTTTATTTTAGCTTTTTGTTATTTTTGTTTGGGTTGAGTTTGAAGTGCAAAAATAACTAAACTTAAAAACTAAATAGACATATTTGGAAAGAAATGCAACAAAATTACTAAAAGTTTAAAGTCCCCCTGTGGTGAAATCAAGTTTTTAATATTGTTTATATGTCTACGAGCTGTTTTTAAAATGCTTTGAGACAAACCATGTCCAAATTAAAGAGTGTTTTCACCTTTCACCTCAAAAACTTGGTTTGACATCACAAACTACCACATTAACATGCGATTGTCAACGAGTTGATCTCTGAGCTCGCGTGAGTGAGTGGAGGTGGGGATAATTTACATATTCATAGAACCGCATATACTAAATGATACAAGGGTATAGTTATATTCAAGCTTTTTAAAGGGATACTCCACTTTTTTTGGAAATAGGCTCATTTTACAACTCCCCCAGAGTTAAACAGTTTCAAAGAGTTTTACCGTTTTCGAATCAATTCAGCCAATTTTCTGATATTTAGAAGAATATCAGTATACAGACAGTGTCTGGTCTCATTGACTTCCATAGTATAATTTTTTCCTACTATGGAAGTCAATGAGACCAGAAACTGTCCTGTTACTGATATTCTTCTAAATATCAAAACATCGGCTGAATTGATTCAAAAACAGTAAAACTCAACTGTTTAACTCTGGGAGAGTTGTAAAATGAGCCTATTTCCAAAAAAAGTGGAGTATCCCTTTAAGGCATGAATATTTTTTTTCAAGGAAAAAACATTTAAATGTCATTTTGGTGATCAAAGATGAGTTTAAAGGGATAAATGATTGACGGAGTCCTTAAAATAAAATAAAAAAACTAACTTTTGTTACTTTATGGCACTTATTTGCCATTGTTTTTGCCCAACCTGAAGTCTGTGACCCATCTTGGAGCTGAAGCCCAGACTTTAAGTAAAATTCAGATGTAAAAGTGTCACTTACCAAGAATCTGAGTGATATTCGCCTGTTCAAACATAACTCCATCGGTGTTGGGGAAAAAGATGTTTGTTGTAGCTTTCTGGCGAGAGGAAGAGGAATAGGCACTGCCACCTGGAGAGGATCGAGAGGTACATCAGTGCACATGATCCATGTGTGAGTGTGACGCCGTGTATTTGCACATATCTATGTATTTTACCAGTAAAAGGATCAGCTCCGCCTGAAGGCGCTCTGCCTGTGGATTCTGACCCGGGTATATATCGACCAGCTCCTGCACAAACAAATACAAACATCTCTCATAATATACACCAACCTTTGGTTTCATATTCGAAAATAACAAGTGCTATTTAAAAATCTTACCAGTGAAAGGATCAACACCAAATCCTTGGCTGCCTTCTCCTGAACCTGGGATATACCGCCCTGCACCTGAAAACACAGGAGGAAAACAGTATAAAACACACTTCAGTCCTTACCTTCAACCGAACAAGGCGTGTGTGAACGTAAATGTGATCCGGTTACCTGTGAAAGGGTCTGCGACCGAGGCGGGGGCTGGCCCAAGAGTGTGGCCTTTAGTGTTTTCGATGATGAAATTAGCCACCTGATCCAAGAACATGGGGCTCAGGTCATTCCTCTCCAGAAAGTTGTGAGCTACTAGCCAGGGGTCATCGGTCACATTATAAGGCAGCTTCATGGGTGAACCGCCCTCATTCACATCGATGGTGAAGACAAAATCGTACTCCTTTAGACAGAAAAAGCTTACTTGATTAGCTATGGTTTAACTTCTGTTCAGTTATCAATGATCAACATTAAATAAAGATTAACTTCAAATCACAGACAGACCTGACAAAATCTACTAGTCTCACCTTGCCTTCATACATCACTCGCTTTGAACTTTGCTGAGAAGACCCGCCCACTACATCTCCAATCTTCATCCAGCGTCCGTCACTCACGCTCCACTGATACGCTTCAACATTAGAACCCTCCTTTATGAGCCGCGTCTGTCCATCACGATTCCCTAAAAGAAAACCATAATACAAGGAGCAAACATTTAGATTTATATAAACATATAATCAGTGTGAGTGTTGTTAACTTAATCAGATAACTTTTTCCACTATTAATGCATTACATTTACATTTGCAACAAAATATCTAAGTTACTTTTTTCAAAACAAGTAATGCAAGTCCTCATTT